AAATATATAAGATGTTCTCAATAAGGTGTGAAAACATTAGCTTCAATGTGTATTTTATCCAGGAACACGCATTCTATATCCTCTTATCTTTTGTCATCTACAGAAGAAGAGAGGACTTAGTAGGTGTGTTCTCAATAAGGTGTGAAAACATTAGCTTCAATGTGTATTTTATCCAGGAACACGCATTCTATATCCTCTTATCTTTTGCATCTACAGAAGAAGAGAGGACTTAGTAGGTGGCGTATATTACCTTGATGTTTTTCTATTATATTGAATCTCCTAACATTATTGCATGATGTTCAATGTGAGCACATCCATTACGTTTGAAGTATATATACCTCAATTGCTATTTGTATGTAAGTTCCATTTATAATATCCAAAATTCGAGAGCGATGAACAAAGAGCAGATCACAAAAATTGCACCTAATTTCTTTTATCTAAGGGACGTACTTATATATAATCAATTTAAAAGCTAATTTAATCTTTTTCGATATATTTACCATACATCTTTCAGACTCCAAATTACTGGAAGATTAAGAAAAACAATGATATATATAAGAGCTAAGTTGTTCGAATGAATTTCAAAGAAAATCATTAGATATTCTACAGTAGAGGTGAGACACAAGGGTTGACTAAAACGCAAGTCTATAGTAGTTTAACTTGCCAAAGAAGTATATTATAGTCTAATTTATCCAATTTCTGATTCTGCATGATTTCTTAGTACCGTTTCAATAGCTGTGTACACCTTATACAGAGGTTAAGTACGAACAGCTGCATACGCGTTATTTCATTCCGATCTCGGTGGGGGGGGGGGACAGGCGGACCGGCCAAGCGACCAAGATAGAGGAAAATGTGGAAAATGAGGTGGATAAAAGAGCAAAGTTTGCAAAGGAGGTGGAAATGGGGAATTGAAATATAGCGATACGGGCAAGGAGAGAGGATACGATCTGGTAAAATTAAAGCGTACACGGTTCAGGCTATTTCACGCAATGAAGAATGTATGGGAACTGGCAATAGAGTTCGTGAGTATTAGGACTCAGGATAGATAATAGAGGGAAGAGGGGACATCGGCACCTCAACGTGATCAGGATTCTCAGGTGGGAGGGATATAACATAAAGATTCAGCAGATGATCGGCTGGTGCCAAAATGCTTCTTGGGGTACGAACTGTGGTGGCAAGAACGTCGGAGAAGATGACATTTTGGTCATGAAAGCATTTATTTACATAACGAGTACGAAGCTGACGAAGGTGTAGCAGAATGTGAGGAAAGGTGAAATGGCTACACAGTTCTGAAGTGGAACTCGGGAGTTTAATATACGGAAAGGTTGAGTACGTTTAACGACATTTCATTCCAGACACAAGGGGTGGCGGCCCATCAGAGGGTTACGCCCTCTCGGCGGCCAGGAGATGTAAGAAGAACACAGTTAAAAAATTGTATATGGAGATGATTAAGTGAGTTCGTGCACTGAGATGCGGAAGACGAGTTTAATGTATGTTATTGGGAAATGTAATCAGGGATAAATGTGTGATGGAAGATCAGGCATTGAGGTCGCAATGTAGTCGGGATGATCTGGCGGCAAAGTCATAAGATAAGAGGTTCAAGAGATTATCTATCGAAGGGAAGATCAGGCATTGAGGTCGCAGTGTAGTCGGGATGATCTGGCGGCAAAGTCATAAGATAAGAGGTTCAAGAGATTATCTATCGAAGGGAAGATCAGGCATTGAGGTCGCAGTGTAGTCGGGATGATCTGGCGGCAAAGTCATAAGATAAGAGGTTCAAGAGCTTATCTGTCGGAGGTAAATGTTTGTGAGGGGATTGAGTACGTTGTATTAAATGATTTGGATTCCCACCACATCAACCATACTGTTTGTGTGAATGTGCTTTGTAGTCACTGTGAGAAAAACCTATACACTAGATAGGTGAAGTGAAGAAAAGGTGTCATCAGCCAGTATTCAGTTTTCCACATTATATAGCCACACAATAGCAGGTACAATAAATAAACTTAGTATTGAGAAGATTGTTTAATCTCGAAGTCTAATTTCAAAGGAGGTCCAGTTCAACCTACAAATTGATCAACGTGTGTAATTGGGTTATACTAGTGTGTAATTGGGTTATACTAGTGTGTAATTGGGTTATACTAGTGTGTAATTGGGTTATACTAGTTTCGGAGTATTCCACTCCTCATCAGTAACCCTGAACTTAGACTTCGAGATTAAACAATCTTCGGAATACTAAGTTTAGTTATTATATCTGTTCTTGTGCAGCTACATAATGTGAAGAACTGAATAGTGGCCAATAACACTTTTTCTTCACTTCACCTATCTAGTGTATAGGTTTTTCTCATAGTTTCTACAAAGCACGTTAGCACTAACAGTATGGTTGACACTTTTCACTATAATTCCAGCTTAACTTGTGGTCAGGGTTACTGATGAGAAGTGGAATTCTCCAAAACTAGTATAACACAATAACACACGTTGATTAAATTGTAGATTGAATTGGACCTCCCTTGAACATATAATTCAAGGTTAAACAATTTTCGGAATACTAAGTTTCTTTATCACAACACGACATTACAGTCCAGCTCATTATGTTCAGTCATGCTTTTTCTGTCGACCGTGCATTAAAAAGAATAGCTTTATGGTGTAGTTTCCTTTGCAAAAGGCTCCACCGTAAGGCTTTCGTATCCAAAGCACACCCTTCCGGCTTTCCATAATTCTTTCAATGTACGAGTAAAATGATTTTCCAGAGCTCATTTCAATAGTCCAATACCACAGGAATTCATAGATGAATTGATCCGAATGTTTTCATATGAAATAAAGAAAATAGTTTCATTTATCAGCTGCTTGAAGCATGCAATATTTTAAACAGGATGTATGACTAGAAGCCTTATTTTGGTAAGTTCACATTCAGTTTATATCATTTCCGGTCAGAAAGTTTTCTGATTATGTTGCATACTGTAAGCTGGAACATGTGGACTGTTTTTGCTGTTGACCTTTATATTTATGGATTCTTACCCGTTACAACATACTAAACATTACTTACCACGGCTGGGTTACGACTTATTGCAGGTCTCTTTCTGTATGGACCTTGTTTCCTAAGTTGATCCATTTTCTTCTGTTTTCCAAAACCATTAAGTACAACGGATATCCCTGTCTTGGGAATGCGAAATCTCCGGTTTGAATATGTCATTATGGTCTAAATGTATGAGAAATTTGCGTCGGCAAAGGGTATTACATATCCTTTTAAAAAAAAAAAATAAATAAAATTTTTGGGTGGCATCACACTATCTACGAAATGACAAACAATGTCAAAGTGCAGTTCTTGTACATACCGTTCCACCACTTTATTTCGGCTGTGGTTGTCACGTGACTTGCCGATTTATTTACTAAAATTATTTCAATATAAAGTACTCGACACTCGTATTCTTAAACATAAAATAACTTTTAAGCCATCTTACAATACGAGGATAAGCGAAAAAAGAATAAATAGATCTGTGAGTCTAGAACTCTTATCTTTGGTGATGAATGGTAGTACAGTAATTATATTTAAAAAAAAAACACTTAATATTTAACTCATCTTACTTTGCTACTATCCTTATAAAAGGTTTGTCATGTAAATATTGGAATTTTTAATGGACTGTTGACATTTGGAAGTAGAAAATAACTGAACTATATATGGTTTGCAAAACAAAATAACATTTCAAATCATAGGTCTCTGTTGTTGTTGACAATGGCTAGCAGCAACCTTAAACCACTACAGGAGACATTGTACTTTATGGTTATTTCGTATCCTGGAAATTGATCTTAGGTATTAGGAATACATCATTGTTCGTCTAGATGAAACTAAAACGGCTTAAAAAATAATTACAAAAGTAACTTGATATTCGAGCAGAAAGCTTAAGATAAAAAGTATAATATTCCTCCACGAGCCATTTTGTCCAGGAGCGTTTAGAAACGTTACTGCTATAAATTTAATTAACTATCTAGAAATCCCAACTAAAATAATTAACAATGAAACAGTTAAATGGAAACACAAGAATTTGTTTAATTATTTAAAAAAAAATCATATATCATGAGATTGGAGAAAGGTTTAAATAATAAAGAG